CAAGCTAAGGCCCATGAACGCCAGCAGGACGAAGATGCTAATTCCTGAGTCTCCTTAGTTCTTTCCTTAGTTTTTCTGGTCTGACGCTTTGTCAACTGTGCCGGGTGCCGGTGCTGGGTGCTGTGGGCTGGGTGTGCGCATGCCATGCACACATCACACACCCAGTTCTGGAAAAGACCAGAACTGGCAACACGCACAAAAATCTTATTTAGCCAGTGTCGGATTTTAATAGCCGACACTGGAAGTAATACACACAACACACACCCAGTTCTGGAAAAGACCAGAACTGGCAACACACACAAAAATCCTGTTTAGTCCTATTTAGCCAGTGTCGGACAATTGAATAGCCGACACTGGAAGTTGAGCCCAACGATTCCTAAAGAAAAAGAAGATGAGTTGCACCTCTCGGCGCTATTATACACCTTTCGGCGTACTAGTTACAAGTAGTGTTTGTTGGTTATTTTGTGGGCTGGGCGTGCCCAAGCTAAGGCCCATGAACGCCAGCAGGACGAAGATGCTAATTCCTGAGTCTCCTTAGTTCTTTCCTTAGTTTTTCTGGTCTGACCAGGATTTAGACAAAATCCTTTAACAAGAACCCAGATGGTGGAGACAGGGTATTGTTTTTAAAAGTATTGTTGTTTTTTCTTTCCCGAACATCACCTGGATAAACTTCATTGTTCCAACCCTGCTGGAACAACAATAAAACTCCTAGCTGGCTAAAGCCAGCAGGCTCTAGCCCTGGAATCTAATCCAGCTGGTACAACCGGTGATCATCAAGAGGGAGAAGATCTTTACCGAATCAGCCTCTCCGTTTGTTTTCAGCCTCCTTTTTTGGGGGGGCAGCTTGTCAACGCGGCTTCGTGGTTTGTAGAAAGGCCTTTAGGTGAAAACACCAGACCAGGAGCTTCCTCATGACATGCGGCAGTTCAAATGGTAAAAGCTGGTGTGTTTGGGCCTCTATGGTGTTATGGATGTTTGGAACGAATTACGCTAATTAATCCCATGGATCTGAAGGCCTCCAACGCTGTGGCTGTTTCACAGCCCCTCGTCACGTCTCGGCCGCTTTCTTCAGCCATATCGATCAGGTGAACCGCGACATGGGCACGGTGGCGATTTGTTTGGAACGAAGCCTGGATCAACGGAGTGGAAAAACGGTCGAACAGGCTGGTCTTGGGACATGGCGATGGCCTTCAACCGGTGGAAGCTTTCGATATGTTTCGATCATGTTTTGCCCGGCAATCTCCTTCCTCTCCTAGTGTTTCTCGTGGGTCTTGTTCATCAAGACCTGAACAGGGCTTAAGGCTTAAGGTTTTTTCTGCTAGCGCGCAAATCACGCTTCGGCCACTCTGAACGTCCAGTCATCTTGATTTACTTTGCACCTGGTCATCCAACACCTGGTCATCCCCGCAAATCATCCGAAAGCACCATTCAAAAAACACTCAAAAACCCTTCCAACCATCTAACAACTCTGTTTTCTCCTTTTTTTTCCGTTTGGTCTCGTTCCGCTGCCCAGATCGACTCGGTTCTCCTCCCGTTCACTTGCTCGGTCCCGGGCGGGGCTTGGCCAGTGACTGGGCGTATGGAACGACTGGGGTGCCTGGACCGCTCCGAAACGGGAGGTTCGGGCCCCCCCCTTTTCGGATCAACCAGAATCTGGTGCGAAGGGTCTTTTTTCACCATTTTGCATGAAGTTAGATTCGATGCCCCTAACAAAAACATCCGAAGAAGTGAAATGTTGTTTCAATTCTATGGCCTGTTTGGGGAGAAGGACTTTGGGAGAAGCGCCTGGAGGTTCAAAACGGCACAATGTTACAGTTACGGCCTGTTCAGTTTAAGGACCCACTGCCGTTACGGAGTCGTTGCAAGGAGTCGTTTCCTCAAACGGTGTCTTTCTTTGGTTGGGGGCTGTTGTCGTGACAAGCGGAGACCGGTAAATTTGGTGGTAGCGAGGTGAGAACCTTAGGCGTTTTGAGGCGTCCTTACGGTGTCTTCCCCGTCCATGGATTTTTGAGCACATGTTTGCACCCGCAAATGGCATTGTTTAAGTTTTGGAGGACATTGCATGTTCCCTCAAAGAATGCCCCCGGTATGTAAAAATGTGCGCCGTTGGAAGGTCCGCGTACGCCTTCCTCAAACAGGTTGCTCGCAACTAGGGAGTTGTCGTGGTGAGACAATTAGGCAAGGTTATCAGCAGGGTTCTCGTTGGTCGCTGGTTCCGCTGGTGTCCTTGTTCGTTGGATATTATGGTAACAAGCAGGGAACAAAGGGTAGTTGCCAGTGACTTGACGCTCAAATCAAAACATCACGTCAGGCCATCGAACCGTCCGATCCAAATTTTGAACAACACGTTACTGTGGATCCCCATGTAGAAAAACGTACTTGAAGCTGTGCAACTATCTATTTGAGGATCACTATAAGATGATAGATACTGCCTATACGGCGTCAAAATGCATGACTACTCTGAGTCCTTTTGCCGCCGACTACTCTGATACCTTCCTTTTCTGAGTCTGTGGCGTCTTGCACGGAGAGACCCGCAACACTGGGGGCCGGCCTCAGTGATTGCGTTTCCCCTTTTTCTGTGCGTCCGGATCGAGCTGGTCCGCGGGTGATTTGCTGACTTCTCGGCATGACTTGAGCTGAGAATTGGTAGACAGCGGCAAGCCGCAGCGGGGTCGGGAGCATCGGTACAAAAGGAACGGAGGTTGCCCCCAAAACTCCGACCAGCGTTGGCAAGCATGAACAAACCCCTCGTGAGGCAAACTTTATATCGTTCACTCGGCGCGTGACACGTCCAACATTTCTACCAAACCCGTTCGGTTTGGGATGATTGATGAATACCCGTCAACTTTCAACCTCTAAGGGGCTAGGATTAGACACCCGAAGCAGGAGACCCTAGTACTGTAGGGGTTACCACTGGGCCCCATGTTCCTACTTGGTGGAGGGCCTCCAGGCACCATCCCTGGGTCAGACTTGGGGGTTGTGAACCGGCCACCTGTTCAGGGCAGACAGGCGCCTGAGACAGGGCAGACTTGGATCCCCACGTGCCGAAACTCACTCGGGCACGACATGGAGCCCGTGGAGGCGGTTTTCGGGAAACACATGGAGACGTCAATCGAGGTCTGCGGTCATGCGAGGTGGGCGAGGTACCCAGTCACCCGCGGAGTTGACTGACCATGACCCACAAGACAGTGACGACCGACCATACCGCGGAGTTGTAGAATGTCAAAACCTGTTGGGATGTCGACATATCCGATATTTCATGGAGAACTTGGGCCGTCAGATTTTCTAGGATTCTAGGTGTGGTTACAAGCCAAGTGTCTTGGGGTAGAAAATGGTGCATTCAGCAAAAAATCACTAGAATTCAAGGTGGGGACCAAAAATGACACCTTCCAACATAGATTTAATTACAGTAGATCAAAATAGTCCCTAGAAATCCTCTGTCCAGGTTCAGCATCTAAATCATCAGCAAGCAAAACGAAGCTAGGAGAGCATCGACAGCTGCATAACAAAAATGGATGGACATCCCAGATTTTCTAGGAACCTGCTCAGGCATCCAATCGTCATTCTCTAGTAGAACAAATTGTCTATCAAACTGCGGCTCAATGCTTCAAAATGCAATATCAGCTAAAGATGTCCTTCTCTTCTTCCCTCTCTGCTTTTCCTAGACAACTGTCTGCGAGTCCCTAGACAATGCATTTTTGGTTCTTGCACTGTTTCCTCAAAACCTCCTAGAAAATGCAAAGCATCACCTATCATCACCTCCCTAAAATACATGAAAAAATACACTGCAAAACGTTTACACGGCAAAACATTTAATCTGCCCATTTATTTAGAACATGCCAGGGCATCAACTGACTCAGTCTATAAAAGTTGCTCCCTACGCCCCCCCTAGGACAAAAATCTAGGGGACCTAAGCCCGGGCATTTCCTAGTGGAAATGTCATTGGGAATATCGACATGCATTTCGCAACTGAGTTCCCATGAAAACCCGCAGAGTCTTGACATACATGTGACATGTGTCACCAATACCCTTGTCCGCCGCGTGAGGTCTTCCTTCGGAAGCATCCAAGTTAGACAGCAAGTTGCGATGACGGACCTGACAGTCACTTTCTATTGTTGGCCTTCCATCAACCTCCCAAAAAATCATTCATAATAATATATATGATTATATATGTATATTTATATACAATGTTGTCGCCAAATCTGGTAGGTTGGTAGATCATGATTCATGGGTTCTTGGCTCAATCCCAGAACTTTGATCGATGCCCCGCCCGCTCCCGCTTCCCAAAACCGTGGACCAACGCCGCTTCCCACTTCCGCTCCCGCTTCTTCACTCCCCGAGGGCAAAGCTGTCCGAACAGGCCAAGGCACGTGGCCTTGGGCGACTCGAAGGTCGCTTCAAATTTCGCGATGGTCTCCTGGACGTGGGACATATCAATCTCCTCCTCCTGGAGAGCGAAGGGAGTGTGAGCGGTTGGCAGCCCGCTTTCGGTTGGCAGGGGCCCGGTTTTTCAGGGGCCACAAAGGCCAGCAAAAAGAGAAACAATCACCACTTCACAATACACCAAACGTGAGGTGTGGTTTGATGTGGATTAGTTAGCTGGTATAGGCTATAGGGGTTTCCTCCATGAGGTCCATCAACCTTACAAGGGCATATGAATCATATACTTGCGAGAACCATTGCACTCTGGAAGATGAAAATGGAACCTGAATCGAATTGTCAGGATCCATGTTAGGATTTCTGAAGGGTGCTAATTGCATCTGACTACCCCAGATGTTTGCTCATGAGCTACAGCTTCCTTCCCATCATGGACTTCAGAACTTGGAGACCCTCATGGTCCCCTATAGAGATCCGTTTTCGTACCGAACCTCAGGTACGGTGATGTGTTCGACACTGAGACATGTATAGGGCCCAGTCGTACCGAACCTGAGAAGGCACGACTAGTTTCTAGGGGTCAGACCTGGCTGCGTCAGACCGAAGCGCCCCCTTTTTTTTCTCTTTTCGACACTCATGTGGCATCGAATACGACCACGGTTCCATCCGCAGCGCCGGCGGCCACGAGAGGAGGAGCACCGACCGCACCGAGGCAATGGAGAGACACCACCTTCTGCGGCAAAGTCCACATCCTGAAGTCAGCCGACTTCGGTTCTACGCTGTCTTTCTTCGTCGGAGAGAGGAAGAAGTATGTGTGTCGTGTCAGCGGTGGCGGGGCCAAGAGGTGAAAGGAGGTCTCTTTGAACTTCTGCGATGCCCACAAAAAAGGACCCAACCATCTTCAGGAGTGCTATAACTTATAACGCATTTGGTGGGCAAGCATCACCGTGTCACCGACCAAGAAATTATCTGTCACTAGCGTCTTCAAATGGTGGATCCATGATGATTGCGAGAAATGTTGGGATTCCAACGCCCAAAAGTGTGTGTGTGTGTGTCGCCCCCTGGTCAAAGGGTTTCCTTTCATGACCTCCACTGCCACTTCTTTCACTAGCACGGGGGCCAGGCCTGTCACATCCAACCTGGCCCAACGAAGCTGGGATGTGGCAGGGGAAGCACCAAAGGACGCTTTGGTGTGTACCTGCAACAACTTTTGCACAAGCTGTCCAATCTCTTTTGTTGTTTTCATGGTTCTTCATGCTACCACCCCCAAACCCACCACAGCCTTACAGCCGTTTTGCTGCCGCGCTGCGCCGACCGAGTGACCGATCGTCTCTGCAGACTTGAACAATTTTTGAAACACCAAGTTTTCGGACCTTTCACCTTGCGGTTCTTCTCCATCCTTCCCATCGTGGTAACTCAGTTAACTGAATACAATTGTCAGAGTGTGTTTCGCTCAGCCGTCCCACTCGGGTGCTGAGTGTGATCCCCGTCACTGGGGCGCTGTTTCATTGGGAAAGCATTCACTGAACTCACCACCGCTCACAGGAACCTCACTGGAACTCACCTACACTCCCACGGAATCAACCGCTACCACGGCCGCCGGGCCTTACCACGGGTCTCCATAGCCGCCAGGCTTAAAAACGGTACCCCAATCAGGCAGGTTTCCCCACCCCCCCCCGCCCGCCGAGTTCTACTCCCCACCTAATTAGGGCAACATAGGGAAATGGTACTCGACACACTTGTGTGTCGGTGCCTTTCCCTGTGTTGTTCCTGTTCTAGTCTTCTCTACCCGGGCGGTCTAAGACTAAAGTCCCGCTCCCTAACTACTGCACGTAATTATTTTCGTCTAAGTATTCAGTAACTCTAGAGAGCTAGGTAGTCAGACACACACACACACATGTACACACACATGCACATACATCCCCTCCCTGCCCCCCCACTTTCCTTCTTGCGCTTTCCGTCGTTTGTTGGGCTTTCTCTCAGGCTTTTTAGGTTGTTCTTCAGGCTCGTTTCCCTACCCCAGTCAAGGGCTAAGTATTCATTTTTTCTACACCTATCTTTCTTTCTTGCCCTCTTAGCGCTGCTCTTTCTGTCTTTCCTTTCTTTTGTTTCTAAGGCTTTTTAGGTGACTACTTTCCGTTTTATGCCAGAGAGCCGCAAAGCGGCGGAGTGTGTCAAAAAGGACACAACCACCAAGCCTGCCACCGGTTTTTGAAAAAGCGCCGACGACGGCGACCTGTGTGTGTGTCGCCCCCTGGTCAAAGGGTTTCCTTTCATGACCTCCACTGCCACTTCTTTCACTAGCAGGGGGGCCAGGCCTGTCACATCCAACCTGGCCCAACGAAGCTGGGATGCGGCAGGGGAAGCACCAAAGGACGCTTTGGTGTGTACCTGCAACAACTTTTGCACAAGCTGTCCAATCTCTTTTGTTGTTTTCATGGTTCTTCATGCTACCCCCAAACCCACCACAGCCTTACAGCCGTTTTGCTGCCGCGCTGCGCCGACCGAGTGACCGATCGTCTCAGTTTTCGGACCTTTCACCTTGCGGTTCTTCTCCATCCTTCCCATCGTGGTAACTGAGTTAACTGAATACAATTGTCAGAGTGTGTTCTGTTTTTAATACGCGGGAGTCGTACCAGGGGACCGTCGACCCTGGCGGGACTGCGTGTGGTGACTGCGTGTGGTTCAGCTGCGAGTCTCTGCTCGAGCATGTTCGAACAATTGGCATCAAGTGGGGTCCGGATAAAAAAAGAAAAACGCGAACACATGGGACTGCAAAAAGGTCCTATTAATTTGCATGACAAGCTTGTAGGATCAACATGGATCAACTAGGAGCACCTGGAATGCTTCATTCACACAGCATGCCCCCCTTCACGAAGTTTTTTTTTGGAGCCCCACCGGAAGAGATACTCAATGGATCTCAATGGACTGAAGCAATTTCGCCGCCGTTTAGCGTTGCCGCTTGCTGCTTCCAACGGGTCACCAATGGACCACTCCACACTCGCGAAGTACTGAGAAGGCAATTCGTTCGACACGGACCTCCAAACTTGGAGGCCTATCCTGGGCCTCTCCTAGGCCTCCACCATCCATCTCCATCTGCCTCAAGATTACATCTCCATCTGCCACCATCCACCATCCTCCACCATCAGTAATTAGATCTCCGCTTCTTCCAGCCTCACAAACCCTTTCCCACCAAGTTACCCCGACGCCTTCGCCGGCGACGGCCCCAGTCCGCGCACGACGTCGTAGCGCACGACGTGGGCGCCCAGCGCGGCCACGAAGCTCTGCCCGAGGCGCGCGGCGGCGGAGACCACGTCCTTGGTGTACCTGAGGGTGCGGTGAAGTGGAGAACTGACGACCTGCTCTTCGCAGGTCCGCAGCAGGTCCGAAGAGAGATTCGTTTGGCTGAATGTGTCCATGGTGAAAAGCAAGGTGAGAGGTTGTTGTCGAAGGAATAGCACAACAAACACTGATGCTTTTGTCCGGGTGTGTCCCAAATACTGAGCCCTCCAAAGCATCCAATTCAGCCAAATAGATGAGCATCCCAGAACATCTCTGCAAGTGGTCTGGAAGGTATAGTTCTTGGAGGAATTCCGGGGTGCAATGTGTTTCAGGCATGCCGGAGTTTTGGGGCGCCTAATTCTGACAATGGCAACTTTGGAACTGCTGGTGGTTGGAGGTCACCATTCAATGAACTTTGGATTCAAACCGCTTGACCGACATCGAAGGAGTCGATCGAAGACTGAAGGACCCTCGACCAGTGGCTGCTGGCGGATCTGGCCCGTGCCCACATCCAGAAACAAGAAGCCCGTTTCGTGAGCAATCAACAGCCTCGCAGGCACGTGACGTAACATGAAGGTGGGGAGGGCGCAAAAGGACAAATAACGCCTACCCCGGCCTGCCCCCCTGAAAACTAACATGAACCCTGGAAAAAAGCACTGGTTTGTAGAGGAAAACAGTCTTTTGAGGGTGCCATTCTCAGGGTCCATGTTAATGTTGACATAGGATTAACATGGATTAACCAACCTCCCCATATATAATCAAACCCAGTTCGAGCCCCCAAAATGAAAAGAAACACACGAAATGGACTGCCAGGGTTTCCCCGTTCAGTTTTCTTCTCATCCAAATCTTCCCAATCAAACCACTGATTGGACACTTGCTCACACACCTCTCATGGTTCAAACAGAATCCCATCAACCATTATCCATCATCATCAGGTCTAGGTCATCACCTCATCATCCATCATCGGGTCATCACCTTTATTAGAGGGATGCCTCCAATCTCAAACCATTTTGACGGTCTTGACCTTGAAGGGAGGGAAGTTGATTAATCCTACGTGGTTCGACCCCAAACCCCTATGAGGGTCCAGGGTCACGTCTGGGTAGAAAAACATCAGCCGCCTCCAGACAACCGAGATGTCCAGCCCAAACCCACAGTCCGGTCCAGCGGCTCATCCTGGAGCGCGACCAACGCTGAGACATTATCCACCTGTGGTCAGGTGTGGGGTGATTCGACCCAAAGCTGATGCATCATGGAGTGTAGCAGCATGTGTAGCTAAACGGCCGGGTCACGGTGCAAATGGAGCCCCATTTGAAGTCATGATGCTCGATTTAGCGGAGTTTCCACGTGCGTGGAACCTCGACTCCAAGAAAATCCACTTAGGGCTGCTCAGGGGAGGAGAATGCCCGCCCAAAATGCGCGCGTTCGGATCATACCAGGACACATGGCAACGGGTAGGGATTACCTCCAACAATCTTGCTGCACTTTTGGCTTGGAGGAGGCCTCCACCCCACCCGTGTTCATGGAGGCCATCGTGCTCCAGGTCTGCCGAAGACCGGCGAGACGAGTCGGGACCCATGTCCACCCTGACGTCCAATGACTACACCGATTCGGATGGGTTTGGAACAGGACGTCTAGTCGGTCCTACAAACCCGGACCAAGCCCGGACTCCTGAAACGATCGGCCGGATCCCATATTGGATTAATGTTCATGATGGATTTCGGTGATCGAGAAACCTTCATGGGATACTCACAAGATTAGAACATATAGGCTGTATAACTACTGCTGTAACTGTAATGCATAAACATGCTGGATGACTACCGGAATCTAGCTTCAAGTGATGCTTCCTTGTGAACCTCTTGGCTATAACGGACAATGAAACCTCTTCAGGCTTGGGGGTTGACATAAACCGTCTACACTGCTGCTAAACTGTTCCCTTCACACATAGTGACACCAACCGCCTGGATGGTCAAACCTCTTCAGACTTAGGGGTTTTTTGCCGCCCAAGACTACCAAGACTACCAGGGCTAAAAGGGGCCCCTGACTACTTCCTGAAAGAGAACTCAATCATCGTCCTTTTCGTTCCATCCGGTCGTCCTTTTCCGAGAAAAAAGAAACACCTGCGGATCCATGTGACGTTCCACCGGGGCCGCCTGGATCTCCACGGAGCTCTTCGTCCTTCCCTCCTGGTCGCGAGCGAGCGGGCGACAAGCGCCGAGCTCGCAAGGTGGGAACGAAGGTCCTATATGAGCTGTTGATATGTGAGCAACATGTGAGCAATGCAAGATGTTCCATCAATTTCCATCATGTTTTTTATCTTTAATGTTGTTGCTTCTGCGCTGTCGTTGATGTGTATACATATGCCGGTAATTGTTGGGAACAGTGGCAGGGTGTTGTTGATCTCTGGATGGGCCATATACAGGCCGCCAAAGTCTTGGCTTTTAGGAGGTGGACTATAAGTTTGTGCGACAGGGCAGCCGAATCAAGGGAATACTTGATAGATATGCGAATCTAGCCCAGAGGCAGGAAACCGCAGGTGAACCTCCAAAAGGGATGACGAAACTCTTGACGAGATTGATTTCACATCGAACATCCGCCATCCTATCCGCCTCCATCCTCGCCGTATCTCGCCATGTTTCGTATTCGCATTCCCGATGTCCTCCCAGCAGGTCACATGCTGCCCATTACAGCTCCAAAGGCTTCCAGTCTCTGTGAAGCAAAGCGCTGTCAGCTTCTGTTCCAAGTGCACGCTCCAAAGCACCTGGCTCTCTAAGCGGCCATGCAGCGGTTAGACTTTTTTGCCGAACGCTGCTGAGCTGTGTGAGCCACAAACGACTGCTAACGACTGCTCCTTGTCAAGGCTGATCATTTTCTTTAGGATCTCAAGTTCGGAAACAAACCTGACCAGTTGACCAAAAGACCCTTACCACTGGTGACCTACCAAACTCTCTCCGGCCGCAGCGATGCCTCCAGGGGCGCCCCAGGACCGCTCCGATGGCTCAGCACCAGCCGCTCCTTGGATGCCGAAGCCACGAGCTCATTCCCGGGGCCAACGGCTAAAAGGCGGCAGCCGTGCGGGTGGAAGGGCAGCTGTTTCCACCTCCGGCAACGAAACGACGAGAAAACAGGCTGGGAATGGGGGTTGAGGATGAGAAGGTTTGTAGAGGTGTGTGACGTGATTTGAGGATAAGAAAAGATAGAAAGGTTGTCCTACTCAAAGACCCACTCAAATGGACCAGGTCTGTGAGAAAAGATGTTCAGAAGGAATGTGGGTGGAGAAGTTAAAGCAATATGGGGGGGGCTCGGTTTCTTTCCCTCAGCATGAAGGTTGGTACTGTCATTTTCTGAAGTATCTTTAACATTCATCTGGTGGAAATAAGACCACTCAATGTCGACGTGCAGATTGTTGGAGGGCAAACTGCACTCACTCGTCATTTCACTTTCAAAAGGAAAGTCAAACCCTACAATGGAGGGGTCTGGGGTAAACAAAAGGCTGATGCAATGACATCTGGTGTGATGGTTTTTTGGGTGCCTCTGTGTTTCTATCATGCAGGTCCTTGGCACTCCACCAAACAAGGAACGCCATCATCCATATCCCACCCCGTCCGACAGGAACGCCATCACTTCCTGAAAACTACCAGGGCCCCAATAGAGGGGTGATTAGTGGACCTCTTAACATCTGGGCTATGATTAGACACCAGCCTAGGCCCTGCTAAGCACATTCGCATTCGTTTGATCATTGGCCAGGGCCAACTTACCCAACCATTTGGGCTCCAGCGGCATTTCGGGGCGCGGATCCAGTCGCCACAGCACCAGCTGCTGTCCGGGCTCTAACTTATCATCCAGCTCGGCCATGCGCTGCTTGAAATCTGCCTGTTGCTTTGACTGGCCGATAAGAACCACAATTCAAACACGGAAATTAGCGAGATCTCATCTGTCGCAGGCGATCTGTTGAGGTCACAAATGTGCTTCAAAGCCAGCGGATGGACAGTGAATGGCACAATTCCCGTCAAACAGGTGGGGGTTTATATCCCAAACACTGCATGTATGGCATATTGACATACATTGGGGTGGTTGAAAAGGGGTAAATACACCACACATGGAGTGTTTGGGTATTATATATGGACCCACATCCAAACAGCCTCTTGGGGTGCCAGTGGTTCTGGGCCATCGACTCGGCCAAAAAGAGAAGCTGTGAGCAACGGCTTCCGTCCCGGCAGGGTGACGTCCTCGCTTCCCAGTCCGAACATTGGACTCTGGAAGGCTTGTCTTGTCCGTCTACGCTATGATTCTTGATGATTCTTGTCTTGGAGGCAGGCTAGTCCCACCATTTGGACACCTCCCCGTCTACTTGAGCGCTCGAGCATACTCTGCGCCCCAAAGACGGAGCGCCGGCGATGCGCCTGGTGACACACATTCCCCGCAGGCATCGGATTGGCAGAGATGGCCGTGAGCAGCGTGTCCTGTGCTGAGCAGTGGAAGGGCAAACCTGCAAAAAACAGCAACTCTAGAGCCAACCACTTGTCCCCTAAAGAGCAGGAACCCTGGTATGTCTAAATTCGCTGCTTTTTTTTGTGATGTCATCCCACCTTGGTGTGCTAATTCTCAACCACTCCCCGCAAAATCGGGGCACAAACCAAGCACATCACAGGCTCCGCATCTTTGCGGCATGACATATGTCACATGAGTCACGACTCATCACGCATCCGTCCTGATCGAGGCGCTGGAGCGCGCTAACGAGTCCATGAGTCTTGAGCTGATTGACCAACTGTGGCTGCTGGTGCCGTGCCAGCTGCCAATGCCTCACCTCTGCCCACGCTGTGGTCGGATGGAGTCACACTTGGAGAAGTGTGGTGGAGTCAAACCTGGATATAGGTCTCGTATTTGTGCATGAGTGTGCCAAGACAGGGTCCAATCTTCTCCATACCAAGCCCGATGCTGCTTCAACTTCCATCACCTGATTACTCCAACCGTTCCCAAAGCCATGTAGAACTCCAAACCAATGTGAAGATTCGACAAGAAGGGATGAATCACATCCGAAACCAGAAGGTCGACCGCTACGCCCGAAACCGGCGCCCCAAACGTACTGTTCCAAATCAATCCCAGGGAAGGCCCTATGGGACTGCAAAGATGGCCTACATAGGCCTACATTCACCACCAAAACCATCAAATGTAGGCCAGAAAACTGCAGTCACATTGGTTGCGGGACTGAGAACGATGCTCTGTTCCCTGTGACCTGATACTCACATATGTATACATGTTCAGGCGAAAAACACCCCACCTTCTCCAAATTCCACCAGACCATCCCTCCAATCCCAGCCCTTCACTCTCCCCATCTGCCCCTCTCCATCCACGCTGCCGAGGCCGAAGACCAGGAGGCCGTCCACAGCTGCAGCGGTGTTACCGGGTCGAAGGCCACGGTGGTGACCTTCTCCTCCCCACGGATGGAGCCAAAACCAAGTGGTCTGACATGGTCTGACGTTTCACATGAAATGGCAAGATGGAAAGGGTTCAAGTGGTTGAACCACGACGACTTGATTGGCGATTGAATGTGATTGAGATCTGACTGTCACCCCTTGTGGAAAAATGAAAGTTCGCGGGATCATGCTTTCCTAAGCCACGTCCATCCAAAAAGAAGATTTGGAGTGTGGGGCATGCGCATAAGAACATTGAAACTCAAGCATGTTCCAGTTCTGGCAGAGTGATTATCTTCCTCACCCTTGAGAACAGCCACCCCGTGCACACCAAACAAAAGTGGCTTGGTCATTGTGTCATACCCAGTCATACCCAGTCAGCCTATACGTCACTTCAGGCCCAACAAAAAGAATGATTCGCTCCGATGCCTTCAAGTTAGAAGGTTTTGTGAACTACTGCTGGATGTCTTTCCACTTGCACACAAACACACACACTCTAAAATCTAAAAGAAATGTGTTGGAAAAAAACTTTGTCCAAGTCTTTGTAAACACCTACGGCAGGCGAAAGAATACAACATGTATTTGGACCGAGGCCTGTCTTGTGCAAAGTATGGCTGTCCTGATTGCTGACACCATACTTGGCTTGGCCTTTAGAGGCCCATGCTGCCCATGCTTGAAACCACCTTCACTGCATGAATTGACCCAGCCAAATTCTAGAACATGGGTTCCGAATGGAGCCAGATACCATCTGCTACTCCACCTGCACTCTCATGGAGATCCATGACATGGCAAGCCACGTGACCGTGGGCCACCAATCTGCGGACCCCCCATGCGCTTCTCCGCTCCCTCCTCATGCGCGTGGAACGGGCCGATGGAACAGCCACGCAGGTGTTGCCAGCCACAGGGCGTCAACAACTCCTGGGTCCCACCAGTCACGAGACCAGACAGAAAGTTCTCCAGTTCTGTCTCAGCAGTCACTTGCACCAAGTTCCACACCGGAACCGGCCCCGGTGTAACTCCGCACCACTCCGGAATAGACCGGCCTGTCCCGTCCGAGACTGTCCGGCGGCTCGGGATCGATGAGTTCTCCTTCCCCTTGAGTCTCAGACTCACCCAGCCACGCTCAACTCCATCGCCCGACACCTTCTGGAACTCCAGGCGCTCCCCGAGCAGCTGCAACTCCTGCGATGAGAAGCGGAACGTTCAGCGGAAAAAAAACAGGGGAAGGCTAAAAATCATTAAAAGATCTGGCGGAACATGGGGCTTTGTTCATTTGATCACGACCTTTTCTTGATAAATCATGATGCGGACATTCCCCCAAGCATGTTGAAAATCTCCAATACCTGTGAAGGATCAGGGCCCAACTCCGCTCGCTTTCGGACGTGGGAGTGCGGCATAGCCAGCTTAGCCAAGTGAAGTCCATAATATAAACAATTCTTAAACATATATGGGGTAGTCGTCTGTACCTAATTAGGGTTCTTCAACCTCTGATTTTTTCGCCGCGGGAGAACACCAACCCCGGCGAATCTCCCAGTTTGATCCGTCCCATCGTCGTGAACGACGACTTATCCAGCGAGGGGCCAAACACTGGACCAGGACCATCCGTGCGCCAGGCGTCCGACATGGATCATCGCAAACATATGGTCTATCATTGAAGAATCTTCTTTAAGTGGAGTTTCGACCTGTTTCCAACTGGAAAACCCCAGGGGTGAGTGTCTGACAGGATTCCACCCTGGCATCGCACCTCGACCTCAGCTCCATAGTTAAGCCGCCCTAGCCTCAGATCTCCCGAGGGTAGGAACCAAGGACATGTGGAGGACATGTACCAGCACCTTCAAAGGGGTCACCTGGCTGGAAGCCCCTACACTACTAAGGGACCTCGATTGGACACCCCTTGAAGGTCCAGGTAGAGGACTAATGCAACATGTAGAGAAAACGTCCAGTGATGTTCGTCCAGTGATGTTCGGAAGTTGAACGTCCGATGTTCGTGACCTCTCCGGACCCCCCGGAACGGCCGATTTGGCCCTGGAGGCCGGCCGAAGTTGACCCGAAACGGCCGATCTTAAGGAACACTGGGCCGGTATTCCAGTTGGGTCGAACAAAGAGACTCCCCGAGGCTCATGGACTCGAACCAACTGCTTACATGTTCCTTCGGTCCAAAACCCTGGCTGTGAGGGTCATTTCACCCTTAGCGAACTGCGGGTCCAATGAGCCTCTCACTCTAGAATTCTCCAGGTCCAAGCTAAAATCGGTTTCAGAAAGCCCCCACCGCCAAGGGGCTGTTGGGAGGAGACCTCTGCCGAGCTTCGTACGATCAAACCTTTCTCTTGGCCACCCACCACCCGCCAGCGCGCCATGCGTGAATCAGCCAGTTATCCAGTCTCATGGGGGACCAGGCCAGGTAGGCAAAAAAGTAAGTGTGAGGGGGGATTCTCTGGCGTAAAATGAGGACGCACCTCAAAGCAGGTGTCTAGTGTCTAGTCTATATATAGACTATGTGTCGAGAAGATATGTCTTTCTGAGAGCAACTCTCTACCGCTCATCTCTGGGTTCAAGACAGTGGCAACAAGCACTGTCACCGAATGCTGCCCGATTTTGGACGGTCTAGTCTCCTGTCCCATAGGTCTTTTTGCGTGATCCAATCTGCGCAAAAAGTTCGGAATGGAATGGCTGCAGGGTACCAGAAGCACGAACAACTGACATAATCTCGCCAATTACTTAGCGTAAGTTACGTCATGTACGCCATCGGCTTGAAAAAATGCATGTCTAACTTTCTATCATTTCTAGATATTTCTAGCCGCAGCATGTTTGTGTTGACGTGTCATGAACAAGAACAAGGAAGTGAGATGGCTAGCATGGCCACCGGAAAGACCTCCAGTCGAAGGAAAACCGTCACCAAGTTCTTCCAATTCTGGGTGCACCTCAGCCAAATGAACCAAAAATGGTAATCCCTTATAGACTAGGGAGTCCCCCCCCAACAAAAAAACACATCTCTGAGAAACCCTTAGAATATCCTGGTTGGAGGGTCTCCTTGACTGGAGGGTCCGAAGCGAGGTCAACAGACTCGACCGGTCTGCACACAGGTCACGTCTAATCTCACGGCCCGAAGGTTCTGGTATACTTGGATCTATAGACCTGGATCTATACGCAGTTCTGCCGAACTTGGCTGGTTTCTAGAGATGAACCGGCATTTTCATGGACGCACAGGGCGACACGACCCAAGTATGACGCAAGCGAAGATGCGTCCTTGACCCAGCCGTTACTCACGCAATCCTTCACCTTGCGAAGGAACACGCAGCTAGCGAAACGGCTTCTTGGCAGTGGCATTTCGGGCTGGTCCACTTTTTGGGTGGGAAACATGGATCTTCTCCACTTCTGGTCGGCCAACTGCCGCAGGCTTCGGAGTCAGCGAGTGCCCACTCCACTCCCATCGAAACCGTCCAAGGTGAGAATGAAGAGGATATCTTGTTTTCCACACCCCCAAAATGGACGTGTTGTTTCCCGGATGTTACAAGCTAGCAACATAAAGCAACCCAATATGTCTATAAGTCTATACATGATCCCATCAAGCAACTAAGAGTGCAGTTTTGATCTTGACCAGGGCCAACTCTTGTTGTTCATGGTCCTGTCAACTCAGGAATGTTCCAAAATCTGCAGGGTGAAAGCATGGTTTCGCCCCATTCTGTGACCAGGAAGCATGGGCTGGGCTCAAGTAGCTTCGTCAAGACGCATGAGTAGCTTCGAATTCATTCGCTTCAGTCCACTGGGCAGTGGACTCACGGCCACACGACGGCTGTCAGAACCGTTTCAGCCCTCTGCCAGGTCGGTGCCGGGATCACGGGCCCAACAGGGGCCTGCCCTGACACAGCCAAAGGAACCACGGTTTTAGACTTTGGAACCACTTAGTTGTAACATGTTGTAACCTATCCCTACAGGTCAATGACCTCGTTGGTCATACCAAAAACACTACTCAGGGAGGTCAAGGACCAGGTTTGATTGGGTCAAACTGGACTTGTATAGGGTATACTTACGTACTGTAAGCTGCTCTATAGGGTCGATGCACCTTCGGACCGGGCCGGAAGGTAAGAGACGTGAAGAAGTTGGTCCGTTTCCGGTTTTCGCTTCCTATTAAGGCCACTTGCAATTCTTGATCTATCTTCTGCCCCATGCGAAAAGCTGCGAAAGTCAAAGACACCAAAAAACACCATCAACGCGTTGGAACCATACACTTTTTCCATCAAGCAAAGGAATCAGGAGGAAAAGTCTGACCAATCTGGGCCAACTCCTTCTGCCCCAGCGAAAGAAAAACCAACCTCACCTTCAGCGAAACGTCTTCATCTCCGGTGGGTTTCGTGACGTGGCGGCACCTTCACGACTCGCACGCGGCGGCACGCCCGCGGCGTGCCCGGTGGAGCTCTCTCAGGTCCCCTACGACTCCCAGGAGATCGAAGAGATCCATGCCATGCAGACCCAAGAAGCGATCAGCGACCGAGTCACAAACCTAGGGCCAGACAGGCCCAGACAGGGCCAGGTAGTGCCAGGCAGGTTGATGTAGCAAGAATAAAGTGCCACTGTGTTCAGCCCATACGGCGAAGTAAAACAAATTGGTTGATCTCTGAAAGGCAAATGTCAAGCACTCGCATGCGCATGCCGTTTTCCAGTTCATGTGGGAAGATGCTTAGCCAAGGGCCAAGGGAGGAGAGAAAGGTCCCGGTTTTTACGATGGACTTTTGAAGCGATGGAGGGTCCTTTGTTTCTCCTAGGATGGGGAATGAAGGGAGAATCCTCCGGGCTACAGTGAGATCTTGGATGTTCCTGTTTTCGGACGGTTAGTTTGGCTTGAAGGTGTCAAGACGTGGAGGTTGAAATTCCACTCTATTTCACATCCCCAAACTGCTTGGCAGTTTCAACTCGATTGAAAAAGACATGTTATTCAGTGGTTCAATATGGTTCAATCATACGGTACCAAGTAAGGGTTGAAAACAAAAGTATCTGAAACCTCCACCCAGCAAATCATCCGTGAGATCACTGGGGATCATGAAAACACCCGACCACAAACATGACACTTTCTGCCCACCCGATCGGTACGACTCCCAACTTGCAAAACCGAATGGGTCGGAAGGTGGGTCCTCTGCAAGAGTCTCGGACGATTCTGCTTGGTTCGTCCTTGTGACCGAACTTGGGTCGACCACAGGTCCGGTCGCGTTTGAGGTCGAATGGATGGGACTCTGAAGCTGAGCTGGGTCGCGTTTCTCCGACACCGGTCGCGACGGCACAACCACGGCGCCTCGGGCACATTGAGCTCCAACCTGGGCGATGTGGTGAGCGACGTGGGGTTTGACCCGGGGTCGGTGATTTGACGCGCGACGACTGACGTGTTCTGCCCACATGTTGAGACACGTGTCCGTTTGTTCCTTCATGCTAGCTAGCTATAGCATGACAAGAAGCGCAACCTGATTACGTGTTTTACACATCAACCACCCAACAGCCCCATCCAAACGCTTCGGACACGCTTCCACCGTCCCAAAGATCTCCCAAAGGTCTCCAGGGACGTTTGATCCAACGGGAGGGTTGAAGGAGAACACCAACCATGGAATTACCACAGATTGCCACCACCATCCTTCTTACATTCCAATTTCAAATCACAATTCTGAGTATCTATACTCCCTCTGCATTTTTGTTGGGTCATCACTTGTCCTGCTGGTTCACATATATATATATATATATACCTGGAAAGGCGTATGAACACCTTTTTTTTTTTGTGCGAAGGCCGTATTTGGACAGAATTTATTGTATGGACATTTTAATTAACGAATGATCGTATTTAGCCATATGGACAAAAAACAATACCGTACAAAAGCGCACCCATATGGAACCCAAAACTTTATCAACATGTTATCGACAAAAACCCAAACGATAAAACCCCATCAAACCCAATATTCGGAGGAATTCCAGAACATTTGTCCATTTGACAAAAAAGGCCCGATGCATGGATTTGTTGTGCGAACGTGTTTGAACAAAAAACCATGCACATTTGGATTCCCTGGTGTATGATATATCCCAGGCAACCCCTGAACTGGCCATGCACGTCTCAAAATATCTCAAAATTAAGATCGAACATCGGGAGTGTGAACGATCCCAAACTATTTCCTGGACCTTCTGAAAAAAGGGGTGAGTGTCTCTTCGGGATCCCGGATGGTAGGACCGGGGCTTCCAGCAAGACCCCGGAATAAAGGTGCTGGCTCTTTAATCACCTTTACCCAGAGGCTCATGGACCCGAACCAACTGCTACATGTTTGAGGTTCAAGTCCAATGAAGCCTCTGGGTATATAATATAATATAAAAATTTATAACATAATCCACGTCTTCTCCCAACACCGCGCGGTGCTCTCCGCAGGATTCCGCGCGGTGCTGGACGGTTGCCACCAAGACCTTCCGAACAGTCGTACAGTCGGGACGCGAGACCGACGGAGGTCTCGGGCAGGCCTTTCTCTAAAAGAGTTGATGTTCTTGTCTATATTACTGACTGTTGCAGGTATTAGGGCCCGCCCAACATATACCGATATTGAACATGCACCTATTATATATATATATAGAGAATGTAAAAAGATCACACCTCCCTCATGACCTGTGGAGTCAAAACGGTCACACGTATCTTGGCGGATTCGTCGAGTCGTCTCCATCTGCGAAATACGACGTGAAATCGACATTTGCAGTCCCAAAGGCTCATGGACCCGAACCTACTGCTACATGTTGGTTCGGTCCAAAACCCTGGCTGTGAGGGTCAAAACATGTCAAAACCCTACAGCGAACTGAGGGTCCTTTCTGAGCCTTTGAGGTACAAATGACATGCTTCCTTGGCCCCACGGAAATTCTGGCGCAGCAGCACATTTACAGCAACAAGTTCGGACGCCGAACACTTATGAACATAAGTAAATGACACAGAAACATGTTCATCGTTTCATGCCCAGAAGAAAAAGCGATGTTCAAAGGTTTGGTTGCACGCACCCACATGAGACATGTTCCACAGGGCGGCGGTCATGTTCGTCCGACGCGAGACGGAACCTGCCTGGGGGAGGCTCCGCCTGGGGATCGGAGACAAGCGAAATGGTTCAGACGCTTCTGATTTTGCATACATGATCAACCAGGGGTCACCAGTCGGGGTGGTGTTTGGTTCCTAAGTGAGTGGATGTGACAGGGGCACCTCGACTTCCTCCAAGAGGCACCTCTTTGTGACTTCTGGAATGTTTACATGTTTCCTTGCATCTGTTAAGAATCTGTTCTTTTCAGTGGTTGGCACCACACTGATATAGCATTCCTTTTCCCAGGCACCCTGTGCAACTCAGGCTACCTAGTTGAGCTGCATGGGCTTACATGTTCTGGTCTATGAATGCCTATGCTCGTTGTCCAATG